CTCTCCAAGACCTTTCGCAGCTTGTCCAGCTGCTCTGCAGTTGGAACCCCTGCCACTGCCACCTGATTGGACCCACTGGACGCACTGAGTGGGTGACCCTTCTCAGAGTGAACCCCGAAACGATCACCTTTTCTTTTGGGGTTTCGATGGTTTCGGATTTAAGTCTTTGATGGTCAAACAAACTAAAAGGACTATAGATTTTGGGAGTTCCAGGCAGGTATGTATTGCGAATCATTCAAATGCATTTCATAAACAAATTGTCATCACCCAAAAAGATCACCAAAATGCAGTCTGGTCCAAAGATGGGTGTGAAACATTGTACGGCGTGTCTCTGAAATAGATTAGATTATGCACTATATATATGTATATGTATATGTATGCAAACCCTTGCATGGACTTATGCGCAAAGCCAAGAGAAACTAAAACCACTGCCAGGTTATACAACCCTAATCAAAGTCACTCGTTAGCTACTCACATCTCTTCAAATATTGAAACACCTCCAAAACACCAGCTTTCAGCACCCCGTCCGTTCCACGCTTTTTGTCCGTCCGAGCCACGCGCTTCGCCGGGATCTTCCCTCGCTTGCCGATCAGCGACTTGAGTCCCTCGCTGGAGTAGCTCTTGGGCCACTCACGTGGGAAGCCTCGTGAGTCCCGATGCGAAGACAGGACCGTGGCGAATCGTGGCGAAGACGGATGAATGATATGATTGCGATGTTAGGAGAAAGCTTATCTTCTATCTCCTTACTTCTCCTTCATATAACGCTACTAGGAGCAAGAAGCTACTAGGGGCTCCTGGTCGAATGAAACCTGAAAAGAGAACCCGGAGGTCCAACCGACGGATGAGGGGGACAGCCGACTGCCGACGAGGCGGAGGGAAACGGAGGACTCAACCACGTGGGAGGGTAAACACCGAAAGAGTCCTGCCAGGAGCTACTAGCTTCTTGTCCCTAGTCCTATATATTGGGTACATCCCATTACCAGTAACAGTGGATTATGATGGTTAGGTTAGTAAAGGCTTTTCTCTAGAGTGATAAGTGTTTACCGACTGTTACAGGTAATGGGACATCCTCATATAGTACTTCACAGCTCTGAAGGTCTCAACATGTCTTGACTTTTGAGAGCCTTTGTTACAAGTAGCTTCTTGTTTGAGAGCCTCCTATAGACTATAGATGTTAGAGTTTTTTGTCATGTTGTTTTTCCAACAAAGACACACCCAAGCACCTCCAAATTTGCTCGTGGCGGTTGAAAGAAAGCTGCTTCACTCATCTCCATCCTGATTCTCTTCTTCTTGTTACACACAAAGGATCGTCTTCATAGGCACTTTTCTTCTTACCGCAAGCAACTACTGTTCATCCATTTTTCGGGTTTACCATGAGGCTGGACTTCTCCACACTCACATCATCCGAGGTGCTTAGCGCGCCCAGCACGTCCAGGTCGTCGCTCGGATGGCTCCAAATGAAGTCCGACCTCGAAAGCCAATATCCTGAGCTCGAAAGTCCGTGCTAGGAGCAAAGGGCATCGCTACTAGTAGCTCCTGGCCTTACTACTAGGAACAAGAAGCTACTAGGAGCAAAGAGCAGCGCTACTAGTAGCTCCTGGCCTTACTACTAGGAACAAGAAGCTACTAGGAGCAAAGGGCATCGCTACTAGGAGCAAAGGACGCTACTAGTAGCTGAAAACGCGACTGCCCCACACATTCGGCTGAAGTGATTGCTCGATCGAAGCTAATGCCAAAACATTATATAGTGGTCCACAAATAGATAGAAACGGCTTCCAACACATTATTAAAGGGGATCCACTTTGCTCTCTCTATTTGGGGTCTATGTATGACTAGTGACTTATATGATTAGTCTTGCTCCAGTCTGCTCTTCTTTTCTTTCTTTCGATTGTAAGGGTGGCGGACTAAGGAATTTGACGACATGATCATGAGTTCATATATAAGTTCTACTAGGAACAAGAAGCTACTAGGAGCAAAGGGCATCGCATTGGGCTGAGCTCAACCGGGCCGTTGAAACATCGCTCCTTTCTCAACCGACCAATCTTGTCCTTTCACCTAGACTGGATTGGGATCCTGTTTTTTTTCAATCCACTATGGATTGTTTCCTGTCTCAACTGTGCGGGATCTTCTTTTTTCCTCCTAGTAGCAAGAAGCTACTAGGTGGAGGCCATCGCTATTGGGTTGGAGGCCATCGCTACGAACATAACAAGGGCATTACTGCTACGTAGTCTTGGCACAGCAAACAGCCTCGTGCCCCCCGGAACCCCCGGAACGCCACGCAGTGGAACACCGCGTTTTGGCAGTCCTTCCGAACGGCCCACTGTGGCTGCAGCGCCATCCGCGTCGGGTATCGACATGGGGTCCCTACTATTTGCAAGAAGCGTCCGTGCTCCTAGTAGCGATGCCAGGAGCCCCTAGTAGCGTCCTTGCTCCTAGTATGGCCTCCAACATAAGGTGAACATGGTTGGAACTTTGTTTGCTTCGCTTCCGTACTCTTGCGAGCCACGGTGGTTTACTCACAAAGTTCCGGTCAGCAGCAAGGGAACCCAAGTTTATGCCGATGCTCATAATGCTCAAATTCTTGATCCAGATCCCTTGGAAGAGCATGGAACAACTCCTCTTGGGGGTGTTGCAAGTTGCTGCATCAAAACTGTGGAGCGATAGCCTCCTTCGTCCAAATGCCCTTGTTAGGACAACTGGGTTGGTCATCACTGGGATCCTTCCAACCTCTTGCTGAGTAGGTCTTCTTCGTGACCTGGTTCTATCCAAGAAAAGCTGCGAACAGGACGCGAAGACATGGAGAAACGGTTTTGGTCTTCAAGCACGCCACAGGTTTCACGATGGCGACTGCACAGTGGATGCACTGACTTGGGAGAGCTTACAGTTGGGAAAACACGGGTATAGACTCTAGACCTCATCAATGATGGAATCATCATTGAACTAACTTGGACATAATTTGGATTTATTTGGCGGGTTCTTTTTCGTTGCCTGCTTTCAATTGTACTTTGGAGGACAATCTTGGTCGGCGAGAGCAATCGCCAGCACCAGGTCGTGTGAGAGGTCCTCCACTTTGAGACCAAGGTATGACAAACCGCTCAGCCGTATCAAGGCCAAGATTCAAATTCTTTATGGTTCTCGCACAATTGGATGCACAAAACTGCAGATGTCTATTGAACATGCCTTTTTAATCGCGCCGTTTTGTGGTGAAGCGAGGATATCCGTCATGTACAGCAAGTCAGCTAAATGCCCCGTGGAGGTGGTTTTTTTGAACTCCGATTTGGAGTCACAACTCCGATCACCCAGCTGTGACTGTTTTAGCATGACCCAGTTCGGGTGGTTTATGAACCCCTCCAGGCCTCTGACATGTGTTTGCATGCGTTCTGAGCCCTGCAATCCTCGTTTCCACACAGCCTGACACACCGAAAACGGCCCAACTCCGGACTTTTTCTCTTTTCTTCGACCTGATCCTCGCCTGGCGAAGCGCACCAACCCAAACCAACTGCTACCAGTCGAGACCGGATAAACGAGCCTTTGGACCTGACTTGAGTAGGATCGGGGCTTGGCATGAATTGACCAGGTTTTCTTCCAAAAGTGAAGAATGAGAAGTCCTTACTAGGAGCAAGGACGCTACTAGGGGCTCCTGGCATCGCTACTAGGAGCAAGGACGCTACTAGGAGCTCCTGGCCTTACTACTAGGGACAAGAGGCTACTAGTTGAATCTCTTTTTGCAACCTGAAGGGTCCACCATCTTATCTGATCCTGGTCCCTGGCCTCAAAAATGAGGCCCCATCAATTCTCCACAAATGAGGCACCAAAGGTGTTAATTGTGATACCCCCCCATCCAAACATGGATAAGTGGAACATGGCGAAAGGAAGAGATTCCTCTATGAACAGGCTGTATTCCACTTCCATGATTGTTTCAGGATTGTTTCTAGGTTTCTTCCTATTGGAGGAAGTCGGGGTGCCCTTGTCACATCCACTCACTGGGATGGGACTAAAACGCACCCACCCAACTCCATGTTGACTCCTGGGAGAAACAAACTCCACGGCCACGCAGAATCTTTTCGAAAGAAGGAGTCATGTGATCATCTACTCATCGAAAGAAGGGAGTTGAACGAGCCGAGTCGAACGGCCTGAAACCGTCCTCAGCTGGAGGAGGACTTCTTGGCCTCGTGGCATCTCTTCCGGTTCGACGATGTCGTGAGAAGAAACCATGGGAAACCCTACTAGTAACAAAGGGCATCGCTACTAGCGATCGGACGCTACTAGTAACAATAAAGCTACTAAAGTAAGAGTTGTTTTTCTTCCCTTTCAATTTTTAGCAATGGCCTCCACCCTAATAGCGAGGGCCTCCTACTAGCAATGGCCTCCAACGCCGAAAAACGAAGGAGGGTGTTGCCAGGAGTCACAAAGTTTCAAAGGGAATGGTTTTTAATTAGTCCCATCCAGTGAGTGGATGTGACAAGGGCACCCCCACTGCTTGGTCGGACACGCTGGACCAGCGAAAAAATGGGAACATGAGTTTCCTCTGAAGGTGTTTTGCCAGTTGTGTTGGTTTGTAGGGCAGTTGGACTCGTGGATCTTATTTGCATGGTCGATGAACCTTTAAAACCCCTCCAGTGTTGGCCACGCCTAGTTCCCTTCTGCTTGGGGGGGACCACACACTTCTACTACTATACTTACTACCTGTGGATGACTTTTGCCGTCAGCGTTGCCCAAAAAATACCTGCAGCTTCCAATCTATATAAAAGGTTAGCTGGCCTTCTTCTTCTTTTTCTTCTTGTCTTTCTTTTTTTTTGTCCTGGCGCGACGGGCAGACTGAGAAAGCTCATGCTGCTGCACGCATCATTCTTCTCGACGTCCGATTGCTTTCGGTGAATTTTTGCCGTGAAGCTCCTAAGCCCTCAGAAGTGCTGTCTGTGTTTGAACGGCTTCTTGAATAGGTAACCCTCCCATGCCAAGAGCGTACCTTTTTCTTCTTTTTTTTTGTCCTTCTTTTTCCTGGCAAATCAGCTGGTCTCGAGACGAAGGTCAAACACACAAGAAGCTTTTCAGATGCTTTCGCAAAGTTCCTAGGTCATCGTCCAACATTGTTTGGGATTGAACTATTGAGATACTACTAAGACTAGGAGCAAGGAAGCTATTAGGGGCCGGCTCCTGGCCTTACTACTAGTAACAAGAACGCTATTGAGATACCATCAAGACTTTCTGGTGCTTTTCCGCCCAAAGCATCGACCTGCGGCTCGTCCCGAGGCGTCCGGGCTTCTTCTTCCCGGACGAAGAACTGGAGGATGAGGAGCTGCTCATGTTCTTCCGGGCTTCCTGGTGTGGGGCCAAACAGCGACTAGCTGACTAGCCAAGTCGGAGTTGCTGAGAGGATCCTGTCAAGAATCGGCTTCCGGTGGTGGAATAAATGGTACAACTCAACGATACCGAAGGTGGAACCAAGTTGAACTGCCCATCAAAAGAGGTTGGCTTCTTGCACCCAGTTTGTTTTTGCAGGATTTTCAAGCCTAAGCATGATTCAGGGTTATCAGCAACAGCACTGTGAACAGCAACCAAAACTTACCTTGTGACATGATCATTTATCGATCAATAGCGATACCCGTTCAAAACAAAACACAAACACTCACTTCACACAATACATGCAAAACAGTAGAAACCCAGAATTTCTCTCATCCCAAAGTAGGTGCATGAAGAGCTCTTCTCCCAGGTTTCCGGGCTACAAATCTCGCCCAATTCCTCCACGATCTGAGAAGACTCTGTGTCTGAGTGTCGTTCTTGTGTGCTTCTCTTGCCTTTTGGGTGTAAATAAGAAGAGAAAACAGTCTGGTAGACCAGCTTGACGCTTCACAACATGCTTCCACGACACCTTCTGCTGCTTCATTCTCTCACCCGGTACCTTCTCAGGTCAAGGTTTGACTAACTCCACAGATTTCAATTCTAGCAGGGACTTTGACTTCTACCATCCTCAGTTTCGAAACCCATTCTACGATCGGACTCGTTCCAGCCTCAGTTACGTTAGGAAACTGGTACCATCTCCGCTTGTATCTAGGTTGGAGGCGATCGCTATTAGGTTGGAGGCCATTAGGATCACAAGCTCCATCCTTTACTAGATCTAAAGCCCCCATCTCCTGTTCCCCGCCCCACCGTGTCTCACCTCCTCAGCACGTTCCCTCATGGCGGCCTTGATAGAGGCATCCTGCCGACGGAGCAGCCATCCACGCCCAACACCGTCACATGGCGGGATGGCTGAAACAAGCCGGTGCTGCCTAAATGCGAAAAGCTTTGAAAAGGGAATCAAGAAGGCTTTCTCAAGTTGGTGGTTGCAAGTCACTTGATAAATACTAGTCAGTGGGATCAATCATTTCAAGTAAAGACAAGACAATAAACATATCTGAAACCACCCCACAGTACTTGTGGTGGCTTATGGTCTTTGATGTCCCTTCTTTTTTTGGGCTGAGCTACAGCAGAAAACTCCAAAGAAGACCAGCTGACTCACTATGACTCACTCATACGTCAGGGAGCGTAGCGAGTATTCAATATGAAATCAGTCTTGTAAAGACCCACCGACCCCACCGCCGACCAAGCGCTCTCCATTGGTCGATCTCCTGCATGAAGAAGGGAATCTCATCATCCGAATCTGCCTGGGTTGACTGATGTGGTTGTGGCACCCTGGTTGACCCCTCAAAATGAGATTCCATGTTTTGGTGGGTGAAGTTTTGACCGCCATGTGCAAAACAACAGCGAGAAAAACGACCTCCCACATTGGTGAGTGAGATCCCTTGAAGTGAAACATCGCCACATCTTGAAACAAAAGACCTCTCACCACACAGCTCACGCAGCGACAGTTCCCAGGAAGCTTCCCCAGCATCGACGACACATCCATCCCATCCGATCCCCCCCCTCCCTACTAGAAACAAAGGGTATCGCTACTAGGAACAAGAACGTTACTAGTAACAAGAATGCTACGAACGGGGCTCCTGGCCTTACTACTAGGAGCAAGAACTCTACTAGGAACAAGGGCATCGCTACTAGTAACAAGTGCATCGCTACTAGGAGCAAGGAAGCTACTAGTATCGACCCCGCTCGGCGATCCAAGGCGGGTCGATCCGAAGGGAACGGAACCGGAGGCCGTGGCCGTCGATCTGGCCTCGAATCGATCGAGGCCACGCAGCTGGCAGCGGACCGGATAGTAGCGTTCTTGTTACTACCCCACCCCTCGCGCGCGCGCGCGCAAAAAGGTCCTAGTAGCTTTTTGTTTTGATTTTAAATAACTAATTACATTTAGATCAATTCTAATCCTAATTCTATTTATTTCTTGTTACTAATAGCTTCTTGTTGCCAGGAGCGCCCCTAGTAGCGTCCTTGTTACTGACTGGCCATCTGGGCATCCCTGACTTTGGCCATCTCGTCCTGACCGGACCGAGGGACACGGAGAAAGGGTTCCGGCACCTGTTACTAGTAGCGTGGCACTTGTGACTAGAAGCGATGCACTTGTTCCTAGTAGCGTCCTTGTTACTACTAGTAAGGCACCTGTTACTAGTAGCGTGGGGAAGGCTTCGATGCGACTTGGAGCGTTTCTCGTCCAACGATCTCGAGGCTCTGGTCTTTTCGAATCTCCTGAACTCGCCCAGAGGAGGTATTTCTCAATTTTAACTAAATTCTAATTAAATGCTATTGTTTCTAATAGCTTCTTGTTACGGTAAGGCACTTGTTCCTAGTAGCTTATGTAATTACTATTTCTCAAAGATTGGTTTCTTTGACCTGTTTCTTGAAGATTGCATTTCTTGTGGTGAAGGGTTTGTTTCCTAGAGTTGTTGCGTGTCTTTTGGGGTCATCTAAACCCTTCACCAGTTCACCATCCGTGAAGGGAGTGCAATGATTGAACGGAACAATGGATGTTCCCCCTAGCGATGTTTGCTCCAATGTTTCCCTGTCCTTCCCTGACTTCATACAATTAACTGACATATTCACAGTCCATCCTCTATGTCTCCATGTCTCTGCCACTTCTCGTTGCTTGCTGAAATTCTTCCCTGACTCGCAATGTTTTCTGAACCTTTTTCCATTCCATTTCCGTTGGTCATTCCGCACATGCTCGTTCGGGTGTTCCGGTATGACAAATGGGGTTCCTTCAACTTGGTGAGACCCCCGGATGATATCTGATGACTGGACTCCCACTCCCATCATGGTCGCCGATGATATCCGATGATATCCCTATGTCAAAATGAGCATTTGAAGATATACAAACATATACATATATACACATACTAGTAGCTAGGAGCTACTAAGTTGGAGGCCATCGCTAGTAGGTTGGAGGCCATCGCTACTAGTAGCTAATTTACTACTAGTAACAAGACTCCTTGACAGAATCCGAAACAACATCATTCTGGCCGGAGGTCTTGAGCAAGAAGGTGATTCTTTTTGGAAGAAGCACGGAACAACCCGTACTCAGCCTTACTCTAAGCCTTGAGTGCTCTAGTGTTGGGTGAAGTAACTGGGAAGTAGGTCACTGCTGGGTGGAAGGATTAGGCGAGCTCCAATGGGTCGGTTCAGATACTGTTTCCGCGTTAACATCCCTTTTTTCACGCCATCTTCCAACAAATCAAATATGCTTCAACAGGACAAGAAACTCAACAAGTCAACAATAATCACATTCTTTGAGCCATCACCCCTGGTCAACAGTTCAAAACCGGGACCTCCAGCTTCTTCTGTTGCTTCTTCAGCTCCTGGAAGAGATGCCCAAACTCCAGGCAACCGTCCAAAACAAAGCTTGGCCGCGCCTATCTGGCAAAGAACAAGTCTAACACTACACCGGAGTTCCATCCATCACCTGTCCACATCTGTCACCCACTGCTTTCACCAAACAAGAACAAAAAACAGCAGAAATGGGCGAATCCACCAGAAAGCAGAAAGCTGCTTTCAGGCGTGAATTCCCGCTTCAGAAGCTTTTCTGAACATAAACAGGTCTTGGACCCTTGACCTCTTGGACCCTTGGACCTGCTTGGACCGAGCTCGACTCCGGAACTTTCCACACCGTCCTTGGCCCTTCTTAACAAGAAGCTACTAGTAACAAGTGCATCGCTTCTAGTAAACAAGTGCCTTACTAGTAGTAACAAGAAGCTACTAGTAACAAGAAGCTACCTGCTTGGACCTCTGAGCTCGACTCCGTCCTTGGCCCTTCGTTTGTTCAGCTTTTTCACGTGCTTCTTCTCCTCCACCTACGCGAGGAAGGAAACCATCAATGCCAACATGGTCGTCGAACACGTGGGAACGGCTAAAAAATGTGAAATGGAGATCCAAGATCTCTACGCTTCCTGATATCAACATGGAGTGAGTTCACCACCTCTTTGGCATTCCGATTGAACATGGCAAAAATGCGTTCTCCACGTCAACATGACTATTTCAGGGGGTGTATCCTGAGGAAAAGAAACTGCAGCTTTGCTTTGTCCATGAAACCCCTTCCTAGACAGGCTAGGATGTATAGTGGTGATGTTGCACGCTTGAAGTACTTCTGAATACAGCATAGCCTCATTCTGGCGCAATCACGCCTAAGCATTGCTTTCCATTGGCATGTCCATATCGGAAGAGAGCATCTAGTATAAACTCGAAAGCACGACAGTTTGAGCAAAGGCATCTTCACCCTCGCAGCTGTGAGATCTGTGAGGACGTGGCTTCTATGCGTGGGTCAAGCACCACCACCCTCTTGGTGCCTGGAATGGGATCCAAAACGGTCCACTGACTTCAAAACAGGGAGCGCTCCTGTGAGTTCACTAAGACTCAACTCCCAGGCCTCATTGGCATCCTCTTCATAGGACCTCTTCCCTCCTGCATGGGCACATGCCGATGAGTTCGGCCGCAAAAGGCGTGGTTCGATTGAAGGCCATGCGACGCGAGTCCGTTTCGTCAAGTACATTTCGCAAGTTCTCCTCATCAACTGACGGAGTCTCCTCATGAGCATCAGTAGACATGGCAGCCTGTTTTTGTTCCATCCCTGATGAGATCTCCTCGTCCATTGATGATCTCGTAGTACATATCCTTCACCTCCGCACATTTCAGCATGAAGCAGAGGGTGGGGAGAGTCTTCAACAACACTCAAGTCAGATGCGATCAGAAAAACGCGGGCATCAAAACAATTTCCGTCTCTGCTGGTAGTTTGGATCGTAAGACATGTTGATATTTTTTGCCTGTCTCCACGGAGGTGATTAAACTTGTAAAGACATGCACCTATTGGCTAGGAGCAAGGACGCTACTAGGGGCTCCTGGCCGTACTACTAGGAGCAAGGACGCTACCATTGGCTGACATGCGCTAGTTCGATTTAAGGATGTATGATATTGCAGTATGGACCTGTATGGTTCTCATGCGTGGTCAGTGCGACAACCCCTTGGTCCATGTTCCACGATTGCGGCATTCGGAAGCTTGGCTTGGAAAACTTGTCAACGATGAGCATCAGCACTTCCTCCAACCTAATGGCGATGGCCTCCACCCTAACAGCGATGGCCTCCAACCTACTAGCAATGGCCCCCCAACCTAATAGCAAGTATAAGAATCAGCACTTCTTTCAACTCCATCAACTCAAAAATGCGTCCGATCAGAAAAGAGGTTGGAAATTCACCCTGTTGTGGGAACTTGGCTGTAGGCAGCCCAGACATTCCAGTGGGGTTGATCTTAGTATGACAACGTATGACAAAGTCTTTGCGGTCAATTCACGTAAGCAAAAAGGCTTCAAGTACCTTCTAGCGAGAGCACGTAGATCCAAACTCGGCTTTGTACTACCAATAAGAGGTTCTGTTTATCAGGTTGGAGGCCATCGCTAATAGGTTGGAGGCCATCGCCAGTAGTTGGAGGCCATTGCTATTGGGGTGGAGACCATCGCTAGTAGCTGGAGGCCATCGCTAGTAGGTCGGAGGCCATTGTTAGTAGGTTGGAGGCCATTTTACACTCCAAATGGGAGGGTTTTATACAATTACATACGCCAGGAGTCACAAAGGGGTTCCGAACTTGGAGGAAGTTGGTGGCCTTGTCACATCCACTCACTGGGATGGGACGAAGCAAACCACCCAACTCCGTGTGACTCCTGGCGAATTAAGATTCTACATGCTATTAGTAACAAGAAGCTACTAGGGGCTCCTGGCATCGCTACTAGGAGCAAGAAGCTATTAGGTTGGAGGCCATCGCTATTCGGGGTCTCTTCCCGCCTTTTGCCCGATCGCATTGTCGCCCTCGTCGTCCAGCGACGCCATGGCACTGAAATCGAGGAACTCGGAGCGTAGGGTTTCAATACCCGAACAGCGGACTTCCATCTGAACCCGAAACAGCCCATCTTGTGGACCTTAGGGTGCAACCACCGAGGAACAAACACCTCATCCTCATTGCTGGAGTACCGCACCGAAGGAAACTGAACGAAACTGGTAGTGGTGGCAAAGACCTCTGCCAATCTTACAACAGTGAGCCTCTCCAAAGTCATCGCGTTCGCCAATGTCTGCATAATATTATATGTCTGCATCAAAAGGATCTAAATGGGTCACATCATACAGTATATCTTAGTAAAGGCTGGGATCAAACAAAAGCCTCTTTGTGCCTTCGTTCGGTCACTCCACGAGATGTTTTTGAAGTCGCCCAACGTGGGAAAGGGGAGGGAATGTCTGAAGATCTTGTAAGGCAAACCATCATCAAAAGAAATCTAGGACTATCATATTGAACTGTTTTTGCGCAATGATCTAGGCAAGCTCGCGAAATGTTGAATCAACGATCAGGGACAATCCAGCACGCGTGGATTCCATGTCCATCTATATATGTCTGTATATGTCTGTATCGCTTGTAGTAACAAAAAGCTAGTAGAAACAAGTGCATCGCTACTAGTAACAAGTGCCTTACTAGTAGTAACAAGAAGCTAGTAGAAACTTTGAGCCCAGGCCAGCCATTCACATTTCAGACCCACAGGTCTGCCGAGTTGCTCGTTCTGTGCACACGGAGTTGCCAAGGGGTCGATGGGAAGCATTTCACCATTTCAGAAATCGAGTTCAGCTGGACAAACTGCTGTGATATGAGACAGTCTCAACCGGGTTGGATGATTCCGTTAATCTCAGTGATTCTCTTCTTGTTGACCTCCGCAATCCACCGTGAAATCCAAAGGGAGTACGAACTGGGGCACTGTGGGCACTCCGTAATCTGAAGGATCACTTCCTCTTAGTCTGTCGGAGCACGGATTCTGCTTCTGATTATCTACTTGTCAATGGAATAACTGGATCGGCCATCCTTAGGGCCTTCCCATCCAATCTTTCCATGCAGGGCCATCCATGACCTACAGCCCCTTGTCCAGGATTCCTGGGCCTCTTCAGGGATGTTTGGAAGAAAACTCCTGAAGCAATCAACTCAAAGTAGGACCCAACCGTTCGGATGGTTTTCAGCATGATCTTCGCACCTCCTCCCTCCGATCCCCTTTCACGCCCGGAGGAGACGGTGGCTGAGCCACAAGAAACGGGTCGCTGTGAAACGCGCGAACCTTGCCGCACGGGGCCGGCCCTGCCCGGACCATTGTCCGGAAAGCTGGTGCCAGCTTGGCTTGGGATTGGAATGAACATCTTGTCCACGTTTATCTTTCGTTGTCAAGACTATTTTCATCGGTTACCTCTGTATTAGTTTGAGAGGATAAATGAACAACAAACACAATATAATCAATGGCAAATATGGTATAATTAATCCCTGATGGATATTATTCCTCTAGCAAAAGTCCTGTAAGTTAAAGAACATAAGTTGTGTCCTTCTTGTCTCAGGTTCAAAGCTCTGTATGCAAAAACACATTGCGAAACCATCGCAGCATCCAGCCAAGGTCGAACCTCTTCTCAAAGGTCAAAGTCAATCCTCGGCAGGTCTGTCTTGCCCGAGCGCTCTCGATGTTTCTTTTCAATTTATTGCTTGCATATAAGACTTATCTAAATATTGTAAACAACAACTTTGAACTCAAGGGATATAGAAAGCACTCAAACGAGTAAACAATCTCCAAACAAGCGGTAGAGAAGTCGGGTATGTCCTTGTCACAATTTTGACGCAAAAGAACCGATTTTCCAAGCACTAAATTTGGGATGTGATCTTTGGGATACTCATGCCACCCCGATACAGTGCTTCCGTAGATGGCACTGGCACCCCGTTTGATGTCTGAGACGGATGGGGGTGCATATAAGCCACTGACCTTGGGGTAATTTGTGCCTACTCTGAAACCACCAGATTCAGGAATTGCCGCATCGCTACTAGTAACAAGGGCATTACTACTAGTAGCAAGAAGCTACTAGTGACAAGGGCATCGCTATTAGTAACAAATTCAGGAATTGCCACACCAAGCTACTCAATCTTCTGCCAGTGACATTTCCTCTGCGCTTCTGTCCGCAGTTCAGGATTGTCACAGCCTAGCTGGTCGTCTATTTAGCGGTCTCTACCCGGGCGAAGCTCGATGGTTTCATAGATCATACAGTAGGGCGTGCGTGTTTGAGACAAAACCCGACTAGCAAGAAGCAGGCCATTACTACAAGTAACTAAGAAACTACTAGTAGCTCCAGGCATCGCTACTAGGAACCCTGGCATCATTTGTGTTTGATCGAATTAGAGACCAGTAGACGCCGCAGAAGGTGAGCTTGATCTGAAGGATATTGACGACTTGAGCACCGCGTTCGCTCATGTTGGCCTCCACCCTAATAGCGATCGCCTCCACACCCTAGTAGCAATGGCCTACAACCTAGTAGGGTCCTTGTTACTAATTGCCAAGATTCACAAAAAAGAACAAACACCCCACACACAAAACAACTTTTGATGCGACGGATGTGGTCGCTGGGATTGGCTGATGAACGTCTGCAGGGGTTCTCATATTTTTCTCATAGCCCAGGATAGAACACTTCGGCGTTTTCAAGACGTAGGCCGTAGGCCCCAGAAATGGCCCTTCTCCCGCAGCGTCTGGGTGGATTTTTGTCGGATTGACCTCTGAGTTCACGGGGGATGGACAACTGAATCAGGAAAACAGTGGTTGATCTGGAGCCTTCACCTACGTAACATAGGTGACCCCTGGACAAAAAGACTCACGCCACTTGGACCAACGAACACCTCCTTGGCCGATACTGTTGGCATCTGAGATGCCCTTTTCATCCCTTTTTTCCATGACAAGAGGAGCTCGCCAAGACACATAAACCGGCGAGAACAATTTGCCCCCAGTACTGCATCTGAGCATTATCTCCTCAGATCGGTTGAAGCTGGAACAAGCGGCAAGCTGCGCAGATCGGTGAGTTGCATACCTATGCATCCAGAAATTCTTCAACAAAGAACCAGCAAATGAATATTGACTGAAATGCTGTGTTCCCCTAAATGTTTCTCAAACCAATATGCTGTTGATTGCTATTGCCATTTAGGAGCAAGCAAAGCAAAGGGGCTCAAGTTCCATCCAAATTCCTGTCTGCTCCGAAGTAAAGTGAACATGGTTCTGCGCCATCCTCCCAATACACATCGGCACTTGTCTTGAACAAGAGCTCCATCCTATATTGATTGGTCTATGTATCTTCATTGGTCAACTAAGTTGCGCGGAAAAGAAGGAACCCACATGAACCTCCAACATCTCAGGAGTGTTTTAAACTAGGGAGACCTCCCAGTTCAACGACTCCGAAGGGAAATAGACGACAACCCATTGGCTGGGGGTTTCCCTAAAATAACACACCCATGTGATTTGGAGCGCTCTCTGTGACCCGAAGACACACCCGAAACCAGACCTTCCGAGACTCGCACCAGTCAAGGGGTGGTCTAAAAGAGGGACACCATGGGACACCTCTATTTTTGCCACAAACACCGCACCGTATTGCACAACAAGGTTGGTGGTAGTGGTAGTCTGAAAAAGGCTTCTGTTGGTGGTGGTTTGGAACATTTTGCCACACACACACACTGGTTCGTTTGTACCTGTCTCTGCAATATTAGTGTGTGCGACCTGGTTCTATCCACCACTCGGGCCCTCCGCGCACCGACGCCGTCTTTCTGCTTTAAAGCAACGATGATCGGCGAGCGCCCCGATGATCGCGGCAATGCCACCATTCTTGGCCACCTGGAAGGTGGGATGAGTGCGTGCGTGTGTGCGTTTTCACTAACGGCTAGTAGCTTCTTGTTCCTAGTAGTAAGGCCAGGAGCCCCTAGTAGCGTCCTTGCTCCTAGTAGCGATGCCAGGAGCCCCGTTCGTAGCTTCTTGTTCCCGAAAGATTTGCCCCAAGTACCTGCCTAGGGCCTTCCGGGGGCGGTTTCACTGGGGCCCGGTGCCGGGGTAGACTGTAGGGAGGACCAAGGGAACTTCTGGCCCGCAGGTGGATGCTCCCTTCGTCATTTGGGTTTCGCGGCGTTTCGAAGAAACCGTTGGGTTTCATGTTCCAGGTGTCTGTTTCATGTTTCTGCCAAAAAAAAGCAAAGCCTTCCAAAACGCAATTATTGTTACATTTCAAGATAAAGACCTGGTTGGGGTCAGGAGAACTGTTTGCTTTATATACATGGTCTTGTGGCCCTGCTTTCTTCGTTTGGTCTTTGGATTGCTTTCTTCTGTTAATTGTAATATCAATTTGGCGTTGTTCTTGCACCTGGCTATGTACTTCTTGAAACAAACACAAGAAGAAAAACACAAGTGGCACGTCATCGTGAAAGACTTTATGACTTTTCCTCTTTACAGTGCCAAGTTGAAATTAAAGCTTACACGGCCTGCTGGGGGCACCTTGTGTTCACACATGCCAAAAGTGATTTGTCTTCCAAACCTCCGTTGTTGCCAAACACTCCACAGCCTCCGTGACCGTTGGATGGTCCTCCTTTTTCGCCGAAAGGAACCCCCAAAGGATCCGACGCGGAAGTCCCTCCGAGCGGCCGCTTGGCAAAGCTCGGCGCTCGGGGACTCCAGTAACGCTTGCAAGGCAGCCAAGCATGCCTCACGGAGATTCGGAGAGGCCCCGCCAGTTTTTGGGTCGTTTTTGGGGAAAACGACGGCTGACGGGCTGAAGCAACAAACAGCAAAATGCATGTGTCGCTGTGTTCTAGTATAGATAAGCTCTTTGTGGTGTCTATCAGGTATATTCAATCAGGGTATGTTGCCTCTTTGTGTCTTAACAATTTGATGACATTTGAGGAAAGATCTGTGGGTGTGACCTGGAAAAATCTAGGACCGTCCATCGTTTGTCGGATCATGTTGCCCCTCCTCCTATGCATAGTCCCTACAGGGATCCGCTTACCTTGTCAGAAGGTACTTGGACCCTAGAATCCTACATAAAAGTGTCTCCAATCACCCTCTCCAGATCCAT